TATTTTACAAACCATCCTCAATGAGCTATTTAATAAAGTTTTCATGGCCCTTCAGCTACATTCAGATTTCTCAATACACACTGAGAAGCAAGTGTGTTTTTCAATCCTCAGCACTCCTCATCTGATCTCAGTGTCACGTCTCTGTTCAGATCTCAGGTGAAGCATTTTGAGACAGATCATAAACTTCTTCAGGTTCTCTCTTTTATTGCACAGCTAATGTTTATGCCTTCAGTGGCTGTCGGCTCTGAAATGTTGCCAGAACCAGAATAAAACAGATTGGACTCTGAGATCTTGGATGATGTCATTGATGTGGGAGGACAGCGGGTGATGATTGTTACATTTGTTTCTGATGTAGTTTTGGACTTCGTCTCTGTTGGCAAAGGCCTGTGGTGACATTGGTCTTCTGTAATGTCAGCTTGTCAATTTGGACTTTAAATGTTGGGCAGTTTAATATCTGGACACTGAGATTTCAAGTGTCTGTTTCTGCTCCCAGCAGACGCAATAGTCAGGACATTTCTTAATGTCTTTGGACCCTATCATACACCCGGTGCAATAAGGTGCAAGACCTGTACAGTATGCCGCGATTTATGACTATTTTCTGACTAGCAAAACCCTAATTTTCATGTTCAGTGCCACATTGCTTAAATAGCAAATCCATTTGCGCCACTTTGTGGACACATAAATTGACAACTGAATGGCATATATGACCCTTTCACTGTAAGAAATATTTTGATAATAAATGCTATATTTTTTTGTTAAAATTAGAATGAATCAAATTTTAATTATGCCACTCAAACCCAATACAAAGAATTTGAAATGGAAAGCATGGAGTTTGGAAAAGACTAAAATAAATACAAAAAACTATTTCATACAGGGTGTCCGCGGGGTCTTAAATTTTTTTTAAAGTTGATAAATCAATGATGGGAAATGAAGGCCCTTCAAAGGTATTGAAAAGTCTTAATCCTGTTTTTACGGGGTCTTAAATTTCGCTGTCCAAAGTGTTTGACTCTAAAAAAGCATAAATATAATTATTTTTTCCCGATTCTCTGGTTCGGGCTGGATGTGTCCGGCCAATCTCCTCTGTTCGGGTGATGTCAAGTAATTTGCGACAGACGCGGGAAGATGATGTGACACTTTCCACATGTAGCGAAACCATAGAGCAGGGTTGTCCAACTGGCAGCCCGTGAGGCAATTTGTTCCGGTCCTCCAAATAGGGTGACCAAGACATCAAAAATAAATTGAGTTCAGTCAAAAAGCCTAGTTCAGAGCCTGAGTCTAGACTTAAAGCCTGAGTCACCTGACATTAAAGGGCACCTAGGTTACCCCTTTTAATATAATATGTGTTTTGCCTCTCCAGAATGTGTCTGTAAAGTTTCAGCTTAAAACACCCATCAGATTTTTCATTATACTTTTTACAAGATCCTATTTTATGCATTTTTCCACCAGGGGGTTGTTTTGTCGTACTGCGGCTTTAAGGCTAGTCCTCCCCGTCTACCGTTTCTACGTGCCTTTCTGCGTGCCTTAATTTCCTCCCTGCGTTAGACAACAGACAGACTTAAAGTAAAAAGATCTCACGTAGCGTTTGTGAGAAAAACTACAGTAAGAACTTTACTGAGTACTTTTAGAACTTTAAGAGTATTTGTTGTGCAGTTGCATGGATGAGTCACACACAATGTTGTTACAAAGTTCACGCGCGCGCACACACAGATACGTGCACACACACGTACACCGCAGCAGACACACACACACACACACACACACACACACACACACACACACACACACACACACACACACACACACACACACAGAGCATTTAGCTTTGCACTCTGTTTGCATGCATATGTGACAGGATACAGGTTAATCTCCACTGCTGTATGGATATCTGTTATGTTAATGAACAAATTAAACCTGATTTAACGTCCAAAAACCGGGATTGAAGCGTATTCTTTCATAATTGTTTTGACATGCGACTGTGCTGATGAAGTAAATCTGAGGTAAATCGCTGTACTTCATTACACACTTGCACTGTTTTAAAACATATTCAATATGTGAAACTTACTCTTCTTGATCACATTTGATAATGATTGATGATCCTAGTGAACTGAACAGACCTTTTATTCCTGGTTATTTGCGCACGTCTGGTCTTGTTGACATGCAAATGCACGTGACTACCGGGATTTGTTAATACGCGCAGCTGTCAATCAATTCGGTCGGTGGGGAGACCGCACTCCTTAGTCAAGTTGCGGTCGGTCTGAAAACCGCTCCAATTGGTCCACCGTTTTATGTTGTTAAGTTGAAAAAAATTACTGGGTGTGTTTATTTTACCCCAACCGCCATGTCTATACACTATTTCTACACATATGTCTGTCCAAACAGCTTGAAAAGTAGATTTTTCACCATAGGTGCCCTTTAAGCGAGTAAGTGGCGCGAGCAGCCATACACATTTGGATACTTAATCGTGAAGTCTTCTCAACGCCGCGTTTCTGTTGCACGGAATGAAACTGCTGCAACTAAACAAAGTTATGCCACCGGTGTGCTAGTTAGAAGTTCCGAGCATATAGCTAATTTAAGGCTAATAAGCACGCACACTGGATTACTATAGCAGTGGGCCGTTCACATATCGCGTCTTTTCCGCGCGCAAGTTCGTTATTTCCAATGTAAGAATGTATGCCAATATGTGCGCTCAAGCTGAGCGATGCGCTCGCACCTTCCAGATGCACCGAGTAGAAAAGATCTTACAGCATAGCGGTGAGAGTTGTGTGTGGCTTACAGTTCAATGTAAACAAAAGATACGTTAGACCAATTATTAATAAAAAGATTATGTATGTATGAACGCAGATGATAACAAACGATCATTTAAATACTTCTCTAATATGAAGCTTAACTTTAAATTAGACGTGATAACCGTGAAACCATGATTATTGTTCAGACTCTAATCGTACAACCAAAATCTAGAATTGTTGTATCCCTAATTGATATGCAGTTCAAAACATAACATATGAATGTGTCTGAATGTAGAAGAAGCCTACTTCAGCAACACACTGCTTTTGTTGTGCTTTGAAATGCATTTAATGTTTGTAAAAGAAAGCCACATTGTACAATGCAGTAACGTTATGTAGTTTTTAAAATAGAACATAATAACATTTAAATGTAGAAACATAGAACGTAGGTGTCTTAAGGAGCAAAAATACATCATATGGGCTCTTATATGCTGTTGTGTTATCATTCATATTGCAAGTCATATCTCTCCAGCCCCTCATTTGGCATACTTTTCATGAACTGGCCCTCATGACAAGCTAATTGAATAGCCCTGCCATCGAGCAAAACAGATGGCAAAATGGGATAATGCAAGTTTGCGTACTCCTGGTTGGAGAAAGACGAGTTTAAACAGTGGCTGAAGCCTGTTACTGAAAAAAAACCACATAATTTATTCTTTTTAAGCTTTGTTTCTTCCGAGCTTATCTGAGTTCTGTTGCATGATTGTGCTCCATTCATTTATTTAACTACAACTGTTTATCAGCAACTGTTTATTAAGTTAAAGGTTTGATACTGATTAGAACTTGAAGTGGCGACGAGATCTTCAAATATTCCGAGAAGGTCTTTAAAAAGTCTTAAAAATGTATTGAAATTTCCTTTAGGATTCCTGTATATAACCTATCATAAGACTCTAAAATGTAACTAGAACCTAAAGTTCATTGATAAACTTTGATGTTGGCTTGAGAAAGCCAACGTGACTGCGCTAGAACTGGGAATGGCAGTTGGCAGGAAGCACGGCGGCGGTTGCTAAGTGGTTGCTAGGCAGTTGCTAAAACAATTATGGCATAGTTAGGTAGTTGCTAAGCAGTTGCTAAATGGCAATGCTCGTGTACATGTTTGATCAAATGCTAATACTTAGTAGGCATTTCTAGCATATGTTATTGCATTTAGATGATCATTCATAGCATATAGCTAATCGTTATTAGCACTTGGCTTCCATTATCATTGTTACCATGCATAGTTCACAGGAAGTCCCATTTGCTAGCACGAGTCAAACAAGCCAATGCCCAGGTCCCTACGATGTTCTGATGTAGAGATATTGCTATTTTTAAATGGTTGCTAGGTTATACTGTTTTATTGCTATGGGGACATTTGACAGGTTAGTGATGATACATCAAAGCTTCTTGGCAATATGAGTGATCTTAATCAACTCCGATGTTTCTGACAGTCTTTATGAGTGTCAAAAACTGGACTTGAACATTATGTATTCCTGGTGTTGGGTTGCGGCTGGAAGGGCATTCGCTGTGTAAAACAAATGCTGGATAAGTTGGTGGTTCATTCCGTTGTGGCGACCCCTGATTAATAAAGGCACTAAGGGAATGAACATTATGTAAAAATGGCTTGCCGTATTTTTTTGAAAATACAATGCTTAATAAGTGTGAAAGTGATACATGCAAAAATGGCTTGCCATATCAGTAAAAATATGGAGTTTAAGCCAAAAATGGCTTGCCATATTTTGAGAAAAATAATGCTTAAAAATTATTTATTGGAAAACTAAAAGTCTGATAAACCTTAAAGATATAGCAACAAAATCTAACGCATCTAAATACAGCTTTAGGCCAAATTTGGGGCTTGTATAATTTTTTTATATGCTCAGATTATAAAAATGTAATATTTAACATTTTTTATTAAAAAAACAATAAGTCTTATAGGCATGAGGAGATATAGCAACAATCTTGAATGTAGAAAGCACATTTTGACCACATTTGGGCCTTTTGGCATGAACGGCCTAGGAGGAGATACGTTTGTTTTCAAGGACAGAGTAGCATAACAGTATGTTGGCTTTCTCAAGCCAACATAATAATAAGCGACATTCCAAAGATGTTGTTAGTTTTTGCACTGAATACAATACACACTGCTGTCAGATTAGTTTAGCAGTTCCTGTTACAAACATTACTCAATGTTTACATCTGTGTTTACATATTTTAATGAACAGTCTTGTGTGGTTGTGTGTTGTGCAGCAGCGATGCGGGGCTGAAGGACGTGCTGTCGGACTGGGACTCAGACATGGATGTTGTGGAATGTCTTAAGGACACAGATGTTCTCCACAATGGCAGCCGGAGTGATCAGGAAGCTGCCCGACGTCTGGCCAGACGGCTCTACCACCTGGAGGGCTTCCGACGCTCGGATGTCGCCAAACATCTGGGCAAGAAGTGAGTGCATTTAGCCACAAATTCAGTTCTGAGTTTCCCGCTTCTCAATGGTAATCGCACCATGCATGCACACTAAGGGCACACTTTGCTATCTGAACCGTGACCAGACTCGTTTCCCAGATCGTTTGAGAAGTCTGAGTGCTCTGAAATGTTCTCAGGCACGGTTCAATTGGCCGGCCCTGGCCTGGATGAAAGAGGTGTGCCAGAGAGGTTCACTTGGGCTTTGTCAAACAGATGTATCCGTTTTCCTCCTGTAAACATCCACAATTGTCACCAGCGACTGCAATGTATCTGCTTGCGTCAGCATTCCTTGAGTTTTACATTTGAAATAATGAGGTATATTATGCACAGACATCCCAAGTCTCCCTGAGGCGCCGCCACCGCCTCCTCCCCTACCTGTTTTACTACTCAAGCCAGCAGCACTTCAGTTTAGCAATGCCTTGTTGAGCACGTGTATTACTATTACGGTAATTTCGTCATCCGTTTTACTCAGAATAAAGAAAATACCACATCATATCATTTATTCCTTTTCCTGCAAAGGAATTCCTTTTCCTGTTTCATTATTTATTTATTTACAAAAGTTTGTTGTTTTCAGAGTAGGTTTGTCCTTGCTTTTAGGGCCTACTTACACTATGATATCCGTATCGTGCCCAGGCCCGTTTCCCGGATCGTTTGAGAAGTGTGAGTGCGCTGAATTGGGCTCAAGCACGCTTCTGAGCGCGGTTCACTTGGGCTTTGGCGCAGTACGCTTGTGTGTGAGTGCAAACTGAACTGAAGCTGAAAGCGAGACGTGACTTTTAAGGGACTGTGTCATATGGATTTATTAATCATTCTTACTGTTCAGTAAACGCAAACTGCCGTAGTTTATTAAAGACGCAAACCCCTCACTTCACGACAGCTGCGTGCCTTCAGCAGACCTCCTCATTCCTGCAGCATGAGGGCTTTATGATTGTTTATGAGCGCCAAAAGTGGCGGATCTGTTCTGCGAAATATCAGACTGCGTGTCTCCGCATCCCTAAGGACTGTTTGGTGAAATATTTGACGGCATATCAAACGACTGAAACGATATAACTAGAGAAATCTCCACTGTGCTGCTGAGTGAGAGAGCGCTTCTCACTGAACATCACAGCAGCGATGACGTAAGCGTGCAGAAGCCCGTTTGTGGTGTGAGCGCGGGCCGTCGGGGGAGACGGGAGGGGGGACAAGCGTGGCAACTGTACCTAGTGTGAGTACGGCCTTAGTGTATTTTCATATATTTATTCAGCATAAACATACTCTTTAGAAATAACTGAAGTGCGTTTTAATTTGTCCTAGTCTTACTACAGTACAATGCCATTCTGATTGCATTTTTATGATGTGGTTAAACCGGAGAAAGTGGACGAAAAACCAAAGTAGACCGTTTAACTGCTGCCTATTAGAAACGAAGTCTTCACAGCCATCTTATAATGTACCATTTCCTATTTACACTAGTATGGGATGCTGAAATGAAATGAAATGAAATGCTGATGGCTTGACCACATTCCTCTTCTTACAAACGAACAGAAAGAGAAACCATTCAGAAACATCTTAAAAGAGTCGCGTTTGTATGGGTTTAGCTGTGTCCTCTTCATTTTCTGTGTCTGATTCAAGCTCAAACTGATATGGCCTCACTGACATGACTCACAGTCTATGGCAAGCCGTTTTAGCATTTAAACTTTTGTTCTGTCAAAACAATCCCTTGACGGATGGAAAAATGAAAGCACATCAGCATTGAGGAAAAATCAGATGCTTAACACATAATCTGTAAAATATTGACTTATATTAAAATGTAGCAAGAGTTTTGTGATAAAACTACAGTGCTTTATTAATTAAATCCTTATTTTCCACAGAGTGAAACAAATCATCACCGCAAAGTTGTGTAGCGGATAGACAGTAGAAGAATAATACACTTCATATAGGCTATTTTTGTTGAATTTTGTTTAATATATTTTGTATCATAATTTTCATGTGTTTTTTGTTTGTAAGTTATCTAAAAAAAAAAAGAAAGAAGAAGAACGAATTACATTTGAGGTGAATTGCTTCAAAACAAGGTTTGCTGTATGCTTTAGCTCCAAAACTCATTTGTTAAATGACATTTTAATACGAATAAAATAAAATTGAAATATTCCAAATATTGTTTTTATAGTTAATGACAAAATCCTAAATTATGAAGTAATTTGACCACAATGATGCAGAACAGGCATAACAAAATTCGCAGCACTGAACTTTTTTTCTGATTGAGAATGATTAAGGATGAGGGAAACTTGTAGTGAGAACGAAGATGTTCACCGCATGTCTGGCCATGAAGTGCGATTTTTAAATTGAAGGCATATTTTTGCCAGTGTGTCACAATTGATTAAAACACCTTAATATTTAATAGAAAGTAGTTGAAGTTTGCATAACCAATGATTGATCTCATCCATGCAAGACCCATTCATACTTAAATATCATGCAATCTGTTTTAAGATTACCTGACCCACGGATTAACGGCAGCACCTTGCACACTCAAAAAAAAAAATTGTTGAATGAACACGATTTAATCGTGGCACCCTTTATGCATCTTTATGCATGCCCTTTATAATCCAATCAAGTAAACCTGAACTGCTTTGAACATGTTGTATGAACACAAAGCACATTTGTAGATAAAACATGGTTTCAATATGTCAGTCTAACTTCTTTGCAACTAATTGACTCAAAATGTTTGTATTGTGTTATTCTAATTAAAATGATTCTAATTTACTCAATGTAACACTAAAGCTTTACTTTAACAAAATTATGTCTTGTTAAATCAGCTAGTTCTTGTTCAATATTGTTGTTTAAATTCATTCATTTATTCATTTTCTTGTCGGCTTAGTCCCTTTATTAATCCGGGGTCACCACAGCGGAATGAACCGCCAACTTATCCAGCATGTTTTTTACGCAGCAGATGCCCTTCCAGCCGCAACCCTTCTGGGAAACATTCACACACACACTCATACACTACAGACAATTTAGCCTTCCCAATTCACCTGTACCACATGTCTTTGGACTGTGGGGGAAACCGGAGCACCTGGAGGAAACCCACGCGAAGGCAGGGAGAACATGCAAACTCCACACAGAAACGCCAACTGAGCTGAGGTTCGAACCAGCGAACCTTCTTGCTGTGAGGCGAACGTTCTACCCACTGCGCCACTGCCTCGTCCTGTTGTTTAAATGACATTTTTAAAATTACAGTACTATGAAGCAAGATTTAAAATTAAGTAATTCAACACAAAAAGGACAGAAAACATGTTATATATATATATATATATATATATATATATATATATTTCTTTTATTATAGCCTTTAGCAGGCATCAATCACATTTAAACAAATTTCTTCTTTAATATTCTAATACAAAATGTTATATAATATCCAAAATTGTAATATGTAATATAAAATGTATAAGAAACATTTAGCCAACAAAATAACCTTGGCTCTTAAGAAAACTGATCCCCAAGCAATACCTGTAGGACGTTAACATCATTTTTCTACCAATTGAGTTTAAACAGCTTTCTTCACTTTGGTACTCCTATTCAAAATGTAAAAGTATAAAATGTATAGGAAACATATAGCCAACAACACAACATGCATAACATTAAAGCTCTTGGGAAAACCAATTCCCAAACTGTGCCGAAAACGCACGGTGATACTTCTTCTTGTTGTTTTCGTATGGTGACATCCAAACGCACTACCGCCACCTACTGATATGCGCGAAGTGACTCTCCAGAGTGAGAGTTGTCGATTTGAAGCGTCTCAGTCTCATTGATTCAATATGTTCTGATCAAATTCATTTGATTATTTCTTGATTCAGTTTTAAAGAACATGAATTAATCATTTAACATACGTAAACTTGATTTGTTCTTTATATGACAAATTTTTATTTTGTAAATCCAATAGTTGATTTTTTTTGAGTGCATAATTTATCTTTTAAATGTCCATGCCTTATCGGTTATCTATTAGGTCTATCAATTAAAGACTTCTCAATAATTAATCAATAATTGAGTAATTGTTAAAATCCCTATTAGGTATCTTTTATTTATTATTATTTTTCTTTTAGGAATTGGGTAGGTTTATGACATAATAATGCAGAATATTATGCACTTTGATTAACAAACAGCCAATGCTTTAATAATAGGCATCATAATAAGTTCCTGGATTATAGTGAGTGTTACCAAAACTCATAACAAGACCTTCACCAACCTAGAATTCTATAGTCCCAAGTTTACTTCATATCTAAACTGTCTTAACAGTGTACACTACAGTACCTGACAAAAGTATTGTCGTCGATCCCAGTTCTAAGAGCAACAAATAATAACTTGACTTCTAGTTGATTGTTTTGGAAAAGTGGCAGAAGGTAGATTTTCTAAAGAATCATTGGTTGAACTGCATCCCAATCATCACAAATACTGCAGAAGACCTATCAGAACCCACATGGACCTAAAATTCTCAAGAAATCAGTCAAGATGCTAAAGGAAAAATCATGGTTTGGGGTTACATTCACTATGGGGTCGTGGGAAGGATCTGGAGAGTGGATGGCAACATCAACAGCCTGAGGTATCAAGACATTTGTGCTGCCCATTATATCACCAACCTCAGGAGAAGGAAAATTCCTCAGCAGGATAGCGGTCCTTGTCTTACTTCAGCCTCCATATCAACGTTTCTGAAAGCAAAGGTCAAGGTGCTCCTGGATTGGCCAGCACAATCACCAGACATAAACGTTATTGAGCATGTCTGGGATAAAATGGAGGAGGCTTTGAAGATGAACCCAAAGAATCTTGATGAACTCTGGGAGTCCTGCAAAAATGCTTTGTTTGCCATTCCAGATGATTCTAAACTGTAAATTTTTTTTGTTGACAAGACTTTTGTCTATGCAAAGTCAGACCTTACTGTCCTAATTAAATAATTAAAAATCACGGCATGATCATATTTAATTTGGGTAAAATTATCATAATTTAGAAGC